GTTATAATTAGGTCAAATTAAGAGGAAAAACGAGGCACTTGTAGGCCCCTTGGTGAATGGGAAGTAGACTCTAATAATGCGTGATGAGGCTAAAATATTTAATGCCTTTTTAATTGCAGTCTACAGGTTATCTGTCAGGTGATGAGTGCTGTTAACAGCCAGGATAGGGAAGGACATAATCACCTGAGAATATGAAAGAACAGGTTAGAAATTATTTGAACAAACTGGATGTTGTTAAGTCAGCAGGATCAAGTATGATTCATCTTACTGCACTCAAAGAATCTGCTGAGGTGACCGTAGAGCCATTGATCATTATTTTTGTGAACTCATGGAGATAAAGGAAGATCCCAAAAGACTGGACTAGGGCAATATAAGGCCCACCTTTAAGAAGGGGAAGGACAAGTATATGGAGAGTTACAGACCAGTCTGACCTCAGTACCAGGAAAGGTCATGGTGCAGGTCTTCAAGGAATCTATTTCTAAACACTTGGGGGAGAACATGGTGATCAGGAGGAGCCAACATGAATGTCTCAAGAGTATCAAGAGTAAGTCAGGCTTACCTAACCTAATTTCCGTCTATAATGAAGTGATGGGTTTTGCAGATGGGGGAGAGAATTGGATGCAATATACCTCAACTTTAGCAAGATTTCAACAGTGTCTCTATGACATGCTCATTAGTGAGCAAAGGAAATATAGTATATAATCAGGGCTGTCTAATGTGGTAGCCCAAAGGCTGCATCTGGCCTAAAAGGGGTTAGTGTACAGCCCATGGGCTCCTGCCTGGCTGCCACGCCTCACATTGTGCCTGTTGCTGTGGCAGCCAGAGTCTCTAGGGCAGGGAAGAATGATGAGAAGGGCTCAGTGACCCTGTTGTCAGTGTGAGGAGGTGGGGAGGGGGAGGATCACACTGCTAACACAGCAGCACCAGTCAAGGATGGAGAAAGGCTTGGCTTGCGTTGCCCACATGGTGGAGAGTGGCTGGGCTGGCCATGCAATATAGTTCCCAGGGAGCCCATGCAGTTTGCAGCCCCTATGGCATGTGACCTACATGGCATGCACTCTTTTATCTGTACCCAGTGCAGTGTATGGCCCCCAGCCACTTTGAAGTCAGCCCTGGTCTAGATGAAACTGCTCTAAGGTGGATGCTGCTACTCTAAGGTGGAAACTAAGATGGATGCTACTACTCAACTGGTTGGATCATCATGCTCAAAGGGTAGTCATCAATGGCTCAATGTGAAAGTAGAAAGAGGTTTCAAGTTAAGTTCTCTACAGTGTCTGTCCTGGGTCAGGTGCCGTTCAATATCATCATATGTTATATGGAGGACGGAACTGCAGGTATGCTTACTAAATTTACAAGTAATCCCAAACAAGCCGAGGCGGGCTTCAGCTTCTTAGACAACGACCCACACGTCAGGACGAGACACATGCTCGGATAGGATGGGCTTCACCTTTCCCCCAAAGGTAAGCGTGTGTAATCTTCTAGGTTGGTTGATCTCCTCCGGTGGGCTTTAAACTAGGCTCGTTGGGGGAAGGGGAAGACGGCAGAGGAAGCCTTAGACCAACAAACCAAGCATCACCCGCAAGAGCAGCCCAGCCTAGACTGATGACGAGCAGAACAAATACCCAGGTAAGCAACAGGGGCCCGGGTAGTACTGGGATTAGGGGGGCAGTGCGTGCATCTTCAGAAGGCCTCAAATGCCTCTACACTAATGCTCGCAGTATGGGCAACAAGCAGGAGGAACTTGCCCTCCTGCTAGCTAACACCAACCCAGACATAGTGGGGCTCACCGAAACATGGTGGGACTCAATGCATGACTGGGTGGTGAACATCAAGGGCTATAGGCTGTACAGGAGAGATAGGACAGGGAGGAAAGGTGGGGGTGTGGCGCTCTATGTCAAGGAGCAGTACACATCCTCAATGAGTAGTACTGTGTCAGGGGAGGAGCAGACTAAAGTGCTCTGGGTTAGAATACAGGGAGGTCAGGGAGAAAGGGACTTAACAGTGGGAGTCTACTACAGACCACCCAAACAAGGAGAAGAGCTAGACCAGGAATTCTTAAGTCAGCTCACGGAGGCAGTTAGGTCAAAGGATGTGGTCATCACGAGTGACCTAAACTTTCCAGACATCTGCTGGGAGGAGCAGTCAGCCAGGTCTGACCGCTCACGTAGGTTCCTAGCTGAGATACAGGACCTCCATCTAACCCAGGAGGTGCACAGCCCCACCACTGGAGACGCCTTGTTGGATCTGGTCTTGGCCATGGACCTGGTGGGGGGACTGTAGGTGCTCGACCACCTGGGCGACAGCGATCATCGCCTGCTGGAATTCACCATCTAGTGCAAGGTGGTGAAGACCTGCAGCAAGGCAGCAGCCATGGACTTCAGAAAGGCGGTTTTCAATGAGGTAAGGAGACTAGTGGGGGAGACACAGAGGTCCCAGGGTGGGGGGGAGTTGGGTGTCCGAGAACAGTGGTTGTTCCTTAAGGAGACGATCCTCCAAGCCCAAAGGGATCCTACAGGGATCACAGGAGGCAAGAGGGCGCAAAGACCCCCATGGCTTACCAAAAGCATCTGGAAATGTCTCCAAGCTAAAAAGGATGCGTACACCCATTGGAAGGGAGGGGCCATCACCAGAGAGGACTATACCTCGGTTGCTCAGGGCTGCAGGGGGGGGGGTCAGGAAGGCCAAGGCAGAGATGGAACTGGGACTAGCTACCCAGATCAAGGACAACAAGAAGTCCTTTTTTAAATACACAGGGGTACCGGGTAATGTGAGGCCTCTGCAAGACACGCTAGGAAATCTGGTCATTGCATCAGACAGCAAAGCTAACCTATTTAACAATTTCTTTGCCTCCATTTTTCTGAGTAGGGACCTGGTCATCCCCCCATGGGGATCCCCGTAGGCCCTGTGGGAGGCACACCCAGGCCTAGGATCAACGAGGACCTAGTCAGGGAACTTCTGGAGGGACTGGACGTATTTAAACCAGCAGGTCCTGACAATCTCCACCCCAGAGTGCTGAGGGAATTAGCAGAGGTTATTGCGGGACCTCTGGCATGGCTTTACGAGCACTCATGGTGCTCTGGCAATATGCCGGAGGACTGGAAAAGGGCCAATGTGGTTCCCATTTTCAAAAAAGGGAGGAAGGAGGACCCAGGAAACTACAGGCCCGTTAGTCTTACCTCGGTCCTGAGGAAGCTTTGTGAGAAAATTATCCTGGCGTATGTCCATGAGGGGCCAGCAGGGGAGACTATGCTTAGGAGCAACCAACATATGTTCATTAGAGACTGGTCCTGTCAGACCAACCTGGTGGCCTTCTATGACCAGGTCACAAAATCCTTGGATGCAGGTGTCGCAGTCGATATAGTCTTTCTGGACTTTAGGAAAGCCTTTGACACGGTCTCTCACCCCATTCTCATTAAAAAAATTGGAGACTGTGGTGTCGATGCCTACACAGTCAGATGGGTCACTAACTGGCTGGAGGGCCGCACCCAGAGAGTGGTGGTGGACAAGTCTTATTCAACCTGGAGGGACGTGGGCAGTGGGGTCCTGCAGGGCTCGGTCCTCGGGCCTGCGCTGTCCAACATCTTCATCAGCGACTTGGACAAAGGGGTAAAATGCACCTGTTCAAATCTGCAGATGATACTAAGATGTGGGGGGATGTGGGCATGCGAGAAGGAAGGAATAGGCTGCAATCAGACCTAGACAGGTCACAGGGGTGGGCGGATGAGAACAGGATGGGTTTCAACACTGACAAGTGCAAAGTGCTGCACCTGAGGTGGAAGAACCAGCAGCAGATCTACATGCTGGGGAACTCCCTTCTCGTCAGTGCAGAGACAGAAAAGGATCTTGGAGTCATTATTGAGGCCAATATGAACATTACAACTCTGGATTTAAGTGACTAGATGGCACTTAATTTTTTTTTTTTTTTGGATCTAGGCTTTTTTAATATATAAGGGTGTTTCAGAAACTCATAGCAAAATGGCTACCCATACTGTATATCTGCAATAAAGCTGGAAACTACACAGCATTGCACACAACACACTTTTATTTCAAAATTCCCATTACTTTCTGAAACATCCTTGTATGTGACAAGTATCCTCTCCATCAAATAGCTCAGTAGTTTTAAAACTAACCTGTTTAATTTCTTCTCTGGCTAGATGTCAAAAGCCTTCACTATCATATTCTCTTTTATCTGGATGAAACTGAACTAATAGTCAGATGAGTACATTATGAATTATATACCTCACATAATCCCTTACAAACTGTTCATAAAGCAAGATAGCTTCATGTTAACATTTTTTTCTTCTGTGATCATGAACTTACAATAACCCCATTTTTCCTTTGCAGATTCCACATTCCCCATTTGGCCTTCAGATAAAATACTTAAACCTCCTTAAAACAAATCTCAAGATATATAAAATCATATCACGATAACTAGGGCATAGCTTTTATAGCATCAAACTTCCTTATTCCTGCTGTTCAATTTTGAAATAACCTTGGAACATTTGAGACTGCTTAGAAATTTATATTCACCTGAGAAAAGTCTGGGGCCAAATTTTCAAGACAGACTTTCATCCACCCTAAAGATACTTCCCTGCATTTCTGTTTGCAGTACAAGCAATGAAAATGTACTTATCCCAGCACTCAAAAAGCAGTTTCACATTTAAACTGAGCAATCATTTAATAGACCCTCCATAGAGGAAATATCTAATTTATTGCCAGCTATCTGTCTTTTGATAGAGGGTTGTGGGTTTTTCACTCCACATCGTAAAACAAATTACATAGTTAGAGGAGTGGTTGCAATCAAGTTCATAAACAACTCTTGCACACATTCAACAATTTGCTCTGTTCAATTTGTCCAATCTTCATGATTTTGCTGTGGTACCATTTTCTAAAATGTACCTGCAGCTGACAAGCTAAAACATTTGCAGGTACGCATATGCTGTCTATAAATAATAAGCTTTTAACAAATGCTTGTGGTGAGACACAGCCTAGCTACTTACGTTTGGAATGTTTGTCACAGAGGGCTGACGCCCTCATGTCACAGAGTCTCAAGGAGCCTTTGCTGCTGCTGTAGACGAAGAGATTGCAATGATGGGGATGAAACTCAGAGGCAGTAATCACTTCCGTCAGGTCCTCCATATTGGCTGGCTTTATATCTACAATGTCTGAATGGAAGTTTTATTAAGGAAAATGGAATTTATTAAGGAAAATTATGACCCTTCCCTTGAAGAAAATGTTTGTCTAGACATTTGACGTAAGTATATAGACAAACAGATTACACTTTCAGATGAATCATTCTTATTTGTTTGAGAACAGAAATTCAATGTTATACCATTTGTCAGTAGGCTTTTTTATGTATATACTATGAAGATAGTTCTATTTTTATAATTATATTAATTTAGGAACACCGTCCATTAAACACTTCAAGTAGGTGTCATCAGTAAGTCCACACTGGCAAGTACTTTGCAAATGGTGATGTCAAATATTGCAGAGCAGTTCAGAGGATTTAGATCCCTATCTTTCATTAAAACTAAAAGAAAATGAGCAGGTAATCACTATCACCAATATTCTCCTGTAAACCAGTCCTGTATCTTCAACAACACTGAATAATAAGGACTAATATACATTTCACTTTGTTCTTACCTGACTGCTTCTAAATAACTATCCTCTTCCGCTCTTTTGCTCTCAGTCTCCCCTATTTCACTAGCTTCTTGTCCATTACTTTATTGAGGAAACAGAAGAATGGGAAGTGCAACAGGAGACCAGCCTGGCTAGTCATCAATCACTTCAACGAGTTGAAACTCAAAAAGGAATCCTATAAAAATGTCAACTTGGGCACAGCACTAGTGAAGAGCTTCTATATCAAAAGTAAGAGGAAGACCAGAGAAATCATAGGTCACATATGGAATGCAGAAGGCAATCTAACTACAGATGTTGCAGAGAAACCTGAAGTATTTAATGCCTTTTTTACTTCAGCTTTCACAAACATGGGCAACTATCAGATGACAAATGCAGTCAGTAGCAAAGACAGGGAAGGAGACAAACAATCTACAGTAATAGCAGAACAGGCTAAGAATTACTTAGAGAAGCTAGATGCTTTTAATTTGGCCGGTCTGGATGGAGTGCACCCTAAGGTACTGATGGAATTAGCTGAGGTAATTTTGGACCCATTGAGGTCAGGTGTATGTACTATGATACACCTCACACCAAGATTTGGAGTGAGGTGGGCACGTTAGTAGGGAAGGACAGATTACAACAGGACCTGGATAGGTTACAGGGGTGGGCTAACAAAAATAGGATGGGTTTCAATACAGACAGGTAGAGGGTGCTGCACTTGGGCAGTAGGAACCAGCAGCACACTTATAAGATGGGAAACTCCTTCCTCGAGAGCATGGTGGCAGAAAGAGATCTTGGAGTCTTTATTGACTCCAAGCTGAACATGGGCCGACAATGCAAGGTCACAGTCAGTAGGGCTAACCGTACTTTGTTGTGCATCCACAGATGCATCTCAGGCAGGGCCAAGGAGGTGATCCTCCCCCTCTATGCAGCCCTGGTCAGGCCGCAGCTGGAGTACTGCATCTAGTTCTGGGCGCCGCACTTCAAGAGGGATGTGGACA